CTTGTATCACCCTGTCATTCCCGTTACCATCGCATTCCTCGAGCGGCGGGTCACCAATCTCCCATTCTTCTCTGTCGCACAAATAGTACCGAATATTGACATACCCTGGAATCAATTCTCAAGTCAGCTAAAGCTTTGGTAATCCCCATTTCCAACTCCTATTAGTTCAACCTACTATAACTTCTCGGCAAAAGATTTCGTTCTAACTTAGCGAACTATTTTTCATGGAAAGTTTTTTCTTTGTATCAAAATTATGTGGACACTTTTTGAAAAACGGCAATATCTTCAAAATCTGAAATCGGTAGGCCTACCAAAGTTTCTAGTAAGTTGAGCCATTCTGTTTGGCATGCTATGAATGGGGTCTGGATACATGTCTTGCAGATCTGTTCCCAACTAGCAAATTTCACCGACGTGTTAGGTCACTTGTGATATTACTCTTTTGTTCAATGACGTAGAGACCGCGAACCACGATACCTCTACGTTTTCAATAAGGATGAAGTCTGAGGAATACGCTAGCCGACTTGCCAATCAAAGCCGTTGCGTTTAGCATTTTTCCAAATGGAATGGTGTCAGGGACCTCCCCTGCAAAACAAGTGATTTGCAACCATGACTTTTCGAAAAAGGTTGTAGCCGGGACTCAAGCACCTCATTATAATCCTAGTCGTCTACCTGACATGTTGGCAAGCCAAACTTCAATGTCCCCCTCCTTTTGGAACCACCCCAGACCTTTGATGAACATCTTCCGAATTGTCTCTTCGAGCACATCTGCGGGTCCGACCAAAGTCTCTCCAAAAACCTCAAGACCCACCCGAATAGTAAGGAATAAGCTTCTTTCTGCCAGTCGAGTTGGTCTATGAAAGAAATTTCCACAGAAAATCTTTTATACTAATTTTACCATTTCCACGAGATCGCTGTCTGTGTGGGTTCAAGATATCATGATGTGATCCTTTTTTTGAGTGGGAATTCCAACCTTGCCAACCTGAACCCGCATTCAAAGTCAAAGTTATACAAAGCTTCTTTATCTTCTTTCGTGTCGTGTGCTCAATTGATTGAATGAGACACCGATTGGTCTTTTTTAAGATCGGGAAGATCATTTATGCGTAAAGTTGAGTAGTACGAAAAGAATAATTTGAGAAAATTAAGGCTATTCTTCCTGTTTTGAACAAGTAGCGATTGAGAACAACCCTCAGTCAAGGTCGAGAGCTTAGCATCAGGATTTCGGATTTCTCTCCAAACCTACGAGGACGCATGACTGGTTGACGTGCTATTTCGCAATAGGAAGGTTCAGAAGCATGGGGATCCCATTTCTGTGCTCGGTCTTCTTCAGAAAAACGCTTGCCGTGAAGAGGAATGATGCCAGAATAAGTAACGAAAGGAGAAGTAAAAATAGGTTAGGAAATCGATGCAAAAACTTCATCTGCCTCAGGGTGTCCACATAATTTTGATACAAAGAAAAAACTTTCCATGAAAAATAGTTCGCTAAGTTAGAACGAAATCTTTTGCCGAAAATGTCATTGTAGGTTATCGACCACTAGGAGTTGAATGGTGAAGGTTTCATAACACAAAAGCCTTTAGCTGACTCCTGAGAATCGATTCTAGGGTGTCCACATACTTTTGGTACGCACTGTAGTGGTCCAGAAGATCCTACCCGCTCGAGAAACACGAAGCCTTTTATTACTTTGGGTCAAAGCTTTCGTCAAATGAAATCATTCACTTGCGATAATGCAGAAAATGATAGCTTTAAGTGGCGCATTACGTCATATAGATATGTAAATGGACCATTTACTATTCTCTCTGCGTTTCTAGCACCTTGATAGTAGGACTATTGAATTCAGAAGAAAGTAGAAAAACGAAGAAAAGAAAGGAGAAAATCTCACGTAGCGTTGTGCGTCACCAAATACAATTATGGAAGTGGAGCAGTCGAGCTCTACTTCTACCTTCTCTTGTGCGTGGAGGACGCTTTGGTACAGAGTATTTTCAAAGTATTTTTGAGTTATTTTAATCGATCTAAAACTTTTGTTCACCATTCTTTGATATATATCTCTTATAACAGGCCACTCTAACCTGTCGATCAATTAAGAAGAACTGCTTTGATTTAACAATTCAGAAGCCGCAAATTGATAACGTGATCATGTCATCTTATCAGTCATGCTTACAGCTACGTACTTTTAGTAGCTCCTTTTACGATTTCTTCAGTGTTAAAAAATCTCAAATCTCATCCTTAGTCGGGCACCCATGGTTGTGGTTCTCACTGATCCAAGGTGTACGACCGGAATTCATATCGCACGTTCCATACTCCCTTCAAATTCTGAACACCGGAAATGGTGTCTAGGTGATGTCTGGGTCTCTCGCGCCTCATCAGGAAATTCAGTTCAGGACGTGGGCACTTTTTCATAACGAGTTTCCGCGTGTTATAGGAGGCAGTGATGTAGTTGCAAGTGGCACGGTCCGGGGATCAAATCCTGGGTCGTGAGTCGCCCGGGCCAACCAAGCCTTCCATCCCTCCGGGGTCGGTTAATTGGTACCAGACTTGTCTGGGAGGATAAAAACACTGACTTGTACATCGGCTGGCCCCCGCAAGTCATTGTATAGGCCACATCGCATTCAAACGCCACTACGAATGTACAAATGGAAGTAGAATGCGTGCCGCATCCCAAAAAGGGATTGATCAACGCTTTATCCTTTATCCTTTTACAGGGCACATGCGTGGAACATAGAATTCATAATAAGCTTTCTGAGCACCTAGAGTTACAGAAAAAGGATAGGAAACTTCTCTTACATAGTGAAACATTTACATTTTTACTATACTGTACCCCATTTTTTAGCACTGAATTGCTGCATGTTAGGCTTTCATTCAGTAAATGAGTTTATACATACACCAGCGCAACAAAGCGGAATTCAATGAGCAGATAAATCTTTTGAAATTCGCATTCTCAGAGAAAATGATTCTCGATTTTTCCACGCGCTCGTATCATGCAAAAATCGTTTTGAAAAAGTGCTCCACGTACTGAAATATTTTTCTGGTCGGTCCTAATTTTGCCGAGCCCTCGCCGGTCTCTTATCCCACAGAGGACTTCCATGTAAGCAAGTACAAGTCCCCAAATTAGATTTTAACCTGTTTTCTGCTGTTTCCCGTCGATTCCTACGCTTCCTCCACCAATAAAGGAAAAACTGATATTCAGTTTCTTACAGCATCCCCCATCTCAACACCACCCTCACCAAAATGGCTGTTTCAAAAATATTTGATTCTGTGACCAGTTCCCCCATTTTCTCATTCAAAATGGTCGTTGAGCAGCGCCGAATAATTCAACTTATCCTACACTGTATCATAATCTTCTGATAGCTTTGTGGACCGTTTAACGGTTCCTGTTAACTGCTTTCTTTAGTGCCCTGTGGCAGCTCTTTGTATGTGTGGTTAGGTTCCATAGAGTCATGTTACGCGCCAGTAACACGTCGTTGGAAAAGCTACGTTCGTCCCTAAGTTTTGCACACCAGTGTATTTTAGGCATCACTCGCGAAGTTTTTGTCAGAATCGTCAAAAATCTTGTGTGGCCCTTTAGACTTTCACAAATACGTCCCCCTCCAGAAATCGCGGCTGTGACTTCTTGTTCACATATTTTGAACGGACGATTGACTCTGATTTTGGGTGGACCACATATTCATTATGGAGTTGAGACTGAAGTCATCAATAATTGATCCAGTTCCTGATATCTTATCGCATCTATCCTTATCGAATTCGAAATTGCATATCGTACCTGGCAAACGCCGGTTACAATCAGGAAGAGCTTTTACACAGAAATCAGATACGTCAAGAATCAAACATTTCCCAGCAAATTTGACATAGATTTGGCAACAAGTCTGACATAGACCAGAAGATCTGATCGCATTTCGTTCGAGATTACGGGTATTGGAGAGGATACGCAGAAGAGTGAGTGATTGTGGCGGACTGAGAAGTAGAGTTCGTTATTTTTCAAAAATTTTCACCACGGCATACGTAACCCTGACCACCAACACAATTTCTTCTAAAGGCGCATCCTTCATTCCATGAGGAAATTCTGTTTTGTCAACCTTATAATACCCGTGGCTGTTTGAAAGAGGAGTCCACGAAAGGAATCCAATCACCGTTATTTATTCATCTCGACAAGTGGTCACCTTATGATTTTTTGTATGTTTGCGCTCTTAACTTCTACTATAATGAATCTGAAAATCTGTATGAATCTCCTAGAGCACTACTGAAATTGCCACTTCGCATTTTTTCTATGATTGAATTTCTTTCTCTTTTGCACACCGAGACTTGCACTCTATGGAATACCGGAATTCCGCGGAATTTAGCAGCAGCTTTTGCATAGTCTCAGTAACGCTCGTACCTGATTTCCACTTTCATTCCAAGAAATGCGTATCTTTTCATCTCGTTTTTCATTTCGTCAGCACTTGTATTTGTTAATCATCAGTTTCCCAGAATCATGAACGCCGTCATTCATGCATTCGTGTTTTCAGATTACTTTACCGGAAATCGAGGACTACTCTGCTCAATGTAACTATGGCTGGTACGATAATCACTTCATACATTTTTAAGCATGAATTATACAAGAAAGGGGTGAGCCTATATCAGCGGGCCAATTCTGCTTAAACCGCACGCCACAATCAAGTTGGGAATGAAGGATGTCGCATGCGGGAGAGCACGGATATGAGCTTTTGAGGTCAATTTCTGGATGGAACCCCGCACTATGATGGGTTGAGTGTGACCATTAGCACCTATCGAGGATCATATCGTCCTATACTCATCATGATCGCCAAGCTTCAGTGCCCTTGTTCGGCCACTGAATACGTTCGACGATCTGGGTAAATCCTGTGTTAGCGGACCGCTTTACCTTCGAACCTCACTCCAGTGATCTAATAGTGGGGTTGCCTTCAAAGTGACGATAATTTACCCTTCTCCTTGCAGTCCTGAATAGCCTCTCTATTTTATCAATTTTTTGACCAACATTTTGATAACACATGCTTTCGACCATATTCCAGACAACCGTTGCGGCCCTCATTACTCTGGAGCCGCGTGCGACTGGCCAATCTGTGTGCATGGAGTCGTGGATCCAGTCAGCCGGGTATGCCAGTGCTATAATCATTTTGCACCTCCATTCTGCGAGTTTTGCTTGCCAGGTAAGCGGAATAATAGCAGCGAAATACCCTCGACAAATGCTTATCGTATCTACTTCAGGCTATTGGGCAGAAGCTTGCGATCGTGAGATTCTCCCAGCTATGCCAGAACCCTTACTGCCTCCATTCTTTGGCCATGTGGTCGTGTATTTAGTTGTCGTTCTTCTTATACTTCTTATTTACTTCGCATTTGGAAGGTGAGACTGGTTGACAACAGTAGCCCATCACTTTTGCTACTGATCGTTCCTAAAACTGGTATTTTACAGGTGCCGCTCTAATCCTCCACCTTATGAGGAGGTTATACAGGAAGCTCCACCTCCACCTTATTATCTCATCTAATCAGAGGGGTCGAACACGGTTACACTATTCTGCTCATCAAACAGCAATTCTCTCTGCCATTGTGACCATTTTCTGGCTTATGGAATTGATATTTATGACGTGTATTGTATATGATAAACCTGTACCAATCCGATCTTGGTTCCAATCAAAGATGAGGCTAACAAGATAAGATACACATTGATCTGCAGGTTTACTACTAAAATTTGTTTTATCCACAGAGATCCTGC